AGTAAGAAATGGAAACATACTGCGGGAAAAATCTGCCTCGTCAGTCATGTATCGAAAGATACATGATCGTCCAAGCGTCTGTCACGCATGGCACATAACCGTCAGTGGTTTGAAGTCATTTACTAAACTTTCTTTTACTTTGATGTTTCTACTGGGCCACCTACATTTTGAGGAGTTGTCATTTCTCATTGAAATGCTTTCTAAACGGTTGCTCTGTTTAGGTTAAGGGTTGTGATTTGAAGACGATAATGTGTCGAGTGATAAAGAAAAAAACTAGAAGTGTTGAACATTTTCGTGTAGAGAATTACGAGAATAGTTCCTTAAAAAAATGCAAATTCGATGAATTTTCTCAAGAGAGTCGCTGTAAAAAAAGATGAATAAAAAGTTGAACTTACCCAGTTGGTAAGTTAATGATTGAATTATGGGTATAGTCTAAACTCTGTGCATCTACTAACAGAGCGCTGATTTTAGCATCCTATCTTATCGTCGGCACGCTCTAAAAGAGATAGCCTCTTGGAATTCACAAAATGCATGCTCCAAGTGTTTTCCTTTTATTTATGCGCAAAAACTAAAACGGTATTGCTGTAGATAGGTTTACTGATATCAATGAACGCTCGTTGGAACTTTTGTGATGTCAACGAATATTCGTTGTCAATTACGTAATGTTCCTTGTAGTAGAGACTTTGTAATAGCAGATCTAACTATATTACACTGTTGAAAATTCTGGTGTCAGACGCTTTCGAATAGCATTTGATCTAATAGTACTTGCTCGATAATAATCCATCGAATAGTAATCTGTATTGTAATCCGAATAGAGAAATAGTATAGTGAATAGTATACTGAATAGCGATCTCTATAGTAATAGAGGATAGAGTAGAAATAGAAATCAGTTGGACGTAACGTCATTTCCTACTTATGTGTTTCCTCTATGGCGACATGGTCTATTTATTTCAATAATGGTATCGCCATTGTTTGCTCACTGGCGATCTATGTTCAAACTCAGCTGTCGGCAGCAACACTTTATTCATATATGCGTGTATAGTGAAAGTTTTTGACGACTGTTACGGTGCATTCGATCAAATCATGAAAGATTCTCCATTTTCTTCTATGTGCCGTGTTCCTTCTAAGAGAATGGATAAATTTGAAGATATAAAGTTACTACCAAATCAAAAATATAGCGTAAATTTATTTTACGTTAGATTATTGACAAAACGTAATCAATTTTTGTAAGAGTAAATTTTAGAAAAATTACAGCTAAAGTATTATCTTATGCGAATGAAATTCTAAAAAGGATTTTGGTGGAGACTGGAACAAATTATCGAGGAAAAACTAGATAAAAATTGTTTTTAAAACGTTAAAAACGTAAAAGAATTACTTACGTTTAATTACTGAAATAAGTATTGATTTTTCTTATATACAAAAATTTGAATCGGAAGACAGTGCTTTCAAGACACAAAAAGTCACTGGGCGGAAGATATGATATTGAATTAATATCAAAGTATTCTTTCAATACTGAATAGAGTCAATCAGACGAGGTATCAAAATTATTTCGTTTTAGTACATCCAACGAGATATCAAAATTATTCTATTTTCTACATACAACCAGTTGCTAAAAGGAAAAATTTAAATTAAATTATTGAAACAAAATAAAAGCTTCACACAGGAAAATGACATGAAAATTTAAAATTTCATCTTCAAACATGTCTTTATTTAATAAGAAAAAAACTCTTGTGACGAACAGCAGCGGGATGCATTTTAAAATCTCGCTGAAAAATTACAATTACTGATTTTTAAAATAAATATTGTGCAGATTTTTTCTTCTGTATTTTAATTTGATGTTGCTCTTATGAAGGGAAACTCTGTTGTTCAGTCTTTGGCTGATACCTATATAAGTCTTGCTGCATTTTGTGCACTTGAGTGCATAAATCACATTTTTAGAGCTGCAGCTTAATTTTTTATTTATTTTGAATATTGTGGGTTTTCAAAACTGTAGGAGTTTCCATCTACAATGAAATCACAAACCCCATATATTTTTGGTGCATTTTGTGACCCATGATATTGTGTGTTGGCAAAATTTAGATGAGTTTAATATGTGTTCAGCTTTATTGGCGTTTGTTTTTAATTGTTTGGTTTGTTTTTAATATATTTTTTCATTTTATCGTTCTTGTTAAGTAGGTGTAGATTTTTTGTAATTTCTGTAAAAAGTTCTCTATTGTTATTGTTGTATATTGAGACACATTCTACAGTTTGTTCGACGTTACGTTTCTTTTGATTTCGTAGTTGGTCTAAAGGTATTTTTTCTGCTAGTTCAAAACCTTTGTTAGTGTAGTCTCATTCATTTAGAGTTTTATGTAATTCTTCTAAGGGCGGTCGGAGGTGTTTGTTGGTCACTATAGTGCAAACCCTACATGCTAGGGAATAGGGGATGGATTTCAGGCATCTTTTGGGCTGATGGCTCTTGAAATGATGTTATTTTTGGGTGTCTGTAGGTTTGTGGTAGATATCTGTGTGTCGGTCGTTTCTATTTCTATATGTAGGAACGGCAATTCGTTAACATTATATTCTTGAGTGAATTTGATGTTCGGGTGTAAGTTTTGGAATAGAGTGTGGAATTGGTTAATATGGCCCCATGAAGATTTCCTAAAAACGAAGAAAGCGTCTATGTATCTCTTCCAGATTTAGTGAACTTTTTTTATATTCTCACTAAATATTTGTTCTATCTTTTCATACAGTTTACCCTCTGGAGCCATTTTCGTTCTCATTGCATAAGGTTTGGATATAGCTTTTTGTTATCAAATTCAGAAGTGTTATTTCTTAGAATTCGGTTTATACTATCGATAAAGAATTCCTGAGTAAATCTGCGATGTAAGGTTTCTGGATGTTTTTCAATCCAGAATGAGATTGCCTGTTTACCTAATTCATGGGGTATGTTCCTATATAGGTTACTAATATGAAACCTTGCTATAAGTGTTCCCGGATTTATTTTTGTGCTATGGAGCTAAGGAAGTGAATATCGTCTCAACAAAAATTCTAGAGACACAAGAGGATAAGAAAAACGTTAAATTAACATAGATAAAATATTATACAACAAATTACAAAACTCTGCACAACACATAATAAGATATTAACAAAAGAAGAAATGGATTTCCTAATAAACTTCGTAACAAAAACAAGCATTTTCTACGCACCACCAAAATTTCCTAAATCGTGTAAAATAAAAGCAGCTACCCAGACACAAAAATCTGAATGTATTTACATCCAAAAACAGCGCCTGCCCAACTAGCAATCTCAGTAACTTAATAGACACAATACTACAACCATTTACTAAACAGATTAAAAGCCACACCAGAGAAAGTTTGCGGCTTCTATCTTCTCTTTATATATATATATATATATATATATATATATATATATATATATATATATATATATATATATATATATATAAAAAATCTGACGCCACAGAACATATATACAGATTTAGAAATATAGGAAGGCATTGTTTCTTTAGAGGGACACGCTGATAAAGTTCACTGACAAAGAAAACAATTAAAATATTAAATAAGTTAACTTATTAAATTACACCTTAAATTTCGGTATTAATTATAAAAATAAATGTAAAAATCCTTTATTAATTATAGGTCACTTAATAATTCTTCATTAATTTTAGACTTGTATTATTTTCTGGTAGGATTATAATTTGATTGACTCATTAGTTTTTCTTTTTTACAGCTTATCAACCCATTCTTGGGTTTATTAAAGCCGAAAAAAATTTGATTGTAAAAAAAAAAAATTCGTGCGAATATTGCATTAACAAAATCCCTTTAGAATCATAATGATTTTTTCATATACATCCTAGTATTTATCCCATAGCTAAAGAAGGAGAACGATACATAGTTTTACCAAATGTATTTGAGCGTAAGTGAATGTAATGAACGAAGAGTATTTAAGCTTAAATAAATGTAATGAACCAAGGGTATTTGCGCGTAAATAAATGTAAAGAAGCAAGGTTGTTTGAGCATAAATAAATGTAAGGAACAAACGGTACTTGCGCGGGAATAAATGCAAAATAGCAGGTTTATTTGCGCGTAAATAAATGTAAAGAGCCAAGGGTATTTGCACGTAAAGAAATGTAAAGAGCCAAGGGTGTTTGAACGTAAAGAAGTGTAAAGAGCGAAGGGTAATTGAACGTAAAGAAGTGTAAAGAGCCAAGGGTATTTACACGTAAAGAAATGTAAAGAGCCAATGGTATTTGCACGTAAAGAATTGTAAAGAGCCAAGGGTATTTGCACGTAAAGAAATGTAAAGAGCCAAGGGTATTTGAACGTAAAGAAGTGTAAAGAGCGAAGTGTAATTGCGCGTAAAGAAATGTAAAGAGTGAAGTGTAATTGCGCGTAAAGAAATGTAAAGAGCCAAGGGTATTTGCGCGTAAAAAAATGTAAAGAGTCAAGGGTATTTGAACGTAAATAAATGTAAAGAGCCAAGGGTATTTGAACGTAAAAAATGTAAAGAGCCAAGGGTATTTGCGCGTAAAGAAATATAAATAGCCAAGTTTATTTGCCGTAAAGAAATGTAAATAGCCAAGGATATTTGAACGTAAAGAAATGTAAAGAGCCAAGGGTATTTGCGCGTAAAGAAATGTAAATAGCCAAGGATATTTGCGCGTAAAGAAATGTAAAGGGCCAATGTTATTTGAACGTAAAGAAGTGTAAAGAGCGAAAGGTAATTGCCCGTAAAGAGATGTAAAGAGCCAAGGGTATTTGCGCGTCCATAAATGTAAAGAAGCAAGGTTGTTTCAGCATAAATAAATGTAAGGAACAAACGGTACTTGCGCGTGAATAAATGCAAAATACCAGGTGTATTTGCGCGTAAATTAATGTAAAGAGCCAAGGGTATTTGAACGAAAAGAAGTGTAAAGAACGAAGGGTAATTGCGCGTAAATAAATGTAAAGAGCCAAGGGTATTTGCACGTAAATAAATGTAAAGAGCCAAGGGTATTTTCACGTAAAGAAGTGTAAAGAGCGAAGGGTAATTGAACGTAAAGAAATGTAAAGAGCCAAGGGTATTTTCACGTAAAGAAATGTAAAGAGCCAAGTGTATTTGAACGTAAAGAAATGTAAAGAGCCAAGGGTATTTGCGCGTAAAGAAATGTAAAGAACCAAGGGTATTTGAACGTAAAGTAGTGTAAAGAGCGAAGTGTAATTGCACGTAAAGTAATGTAAAGAGCCAAGTGTATTTGCACGTAAAGAAATGTAAAAAGCGAAGGGTAATTGCGCGTAAAGAAATGTAAAGAGCGAAGTGTAATTGCGCGTAAAGAAATGTAAAGAGCCAAGGCTATTTGCGGGTAAAGAAATGTAAAGAGCCAAGGTTATTTGAACGTAAAGAAATGTAAAGAGCCAAGGGTATTTGAACGTAAAGAAGTGTAAAGAGCGAAGCGTAATTGCCCGTAAAGAAATGTAAATAGCCAAGGGTATCTGCGCGTAAAGAAATGTAAAGTGCCAAGGGTATTTGCACGTAAAGAAATGTAAAGAGCTAAGGGTATTTGCGCGTAAAGAAATGTAAAGAGTCAAGGTTATTTGCACGTATCGAAATGTAAAGAGCCAAGGGTACTTGCACGAAAAGAAATGTAAAGAACCAATGCTTCGGAATATTCTGTTTATAATTTTAGGGCTAAGAACAGCTGTAAAATGTGATTCACATAGTTCTGTAAACGAAATTGCATATGGAGATTTAATAATCAAACCAAATGAACCACTCTTGGATTCTGCTTCATTTCGAGATAGTTTGAGATTGAAGATGTCTCAAGTAATATCATCATCTTCTAGACAATCAACCAATATAACATATGTCCTAGAATCACTCAAAAACTGAAATTTTGTTGTAGTAAATGACAAGACAGCAAAACACTCATTACAACACAGCTTACAAAGAGCCTTACAAGATAGTAAAACGTACATATAAATATTTCACAATTGCGATTAATAATAAACAAGGGAATATTTCTATTAATCGGGTCATTTGAAAATATTGGTGTTGATTCATTAGAAAGCATCAAGCAAACACAGCCTAGAAATTCAACGAGTGGTCCTCATATTAGATGGCTTACTAAAATATTTTCTTACATAACAATAAAAAAATCTCTTCTTGAGATTGTTGTATAACAACTTCGCTTGAAAGGGAATACTGTAGTATCTTTAATATTAGTATTAACCCTTAAGTATAGTAGCAGTAGTAGCCCTAAATAAACCTTGTATCCGCAACAGTTCTGCAATATGAAAAACACGAGAACCCTAAAAGTAACTCTCTATTCCGGGTTTTCGCTTTCGAACATTATGACGTAAACTTTCCCGGCTGGAGCTAAAAGGGCTGTGATCACTTCAACACTAAAATACACCAACACAGTAAGTCCCACTTGAATATATTCACGAACATTTCGTTGTGCATGCAATTAACTTCTAACAAAAGAAACGTTTGATTTAAACTTTCTTTTTATCGATTTTCTTCAATAAATGTTATCGTGCATTGCAAATCAATTAGTCAATTATTTTGTGCATCTAAACTTTTTCAGCACAACTATTTAATGTGCTATAAAATATTCCCGTAAGAAAACTTACGCATTTATTTATTGAATAGCGAAACCACTAAACCTTATTCAGCAGAATAATCTCTTAAGCAGGCCAAGCATAGATATAAATACTATATGAGAATCAGTAATACGGAGTGCTATAGAAAAACAATAATAAAAAGCGTTGGTTGAACTAATCCAAAGATTTCAATGGATGATCATAACAAAGGGAAACATAACTTAAAGGGAAATAACTTAAAGCTGAAAATGATATATCCGGCAATCTACGAGAACAATCTAGCTGGACGAAATAAAGCTTTCAGTTCGAAATTCCATTCACCATTTTACTATTTTATATTGATATCGAGGATGCCATGGGTACAATGTTACCATTTTATATTTTTAATTTCGCGCATGCGCGTTGTTTGTGATTTTGTCGACCGCACAATATAGTAGAGTCAGTTGGACATCGTCAGTGAGAAAAAAAAGCAGCATGACGAAATTTACGTCGCTAGAAATTTGGCGACGACATGCTGAACTGCTTGGCATTCGCACTGGAAGTTTATACGAACATTTAGGTGTGAATCTGAGGACAGTGCAGAGGATTCTGAAAGAGTTGGATTAGTCTTATGGTGATTAAGAAGGTACGGCAGCTCGAAAAACACACTGTAATAGTTCTGATAAGAAAAGAACTCCCGAATTTGTTAGTGAAGGCATCAGACTCAAAACAGGGGAATACATGAAATGCCTCGAAGAGGTAGTGCTGCCCTGGGTCAAGATATTGGCTGCTGGAAGATAATATCTGGCAACAAGACTCTGCACCATGCCACACTAGAAGGAGAAGACAATCATGGCTGTCAGACATTTTCTGCCACAACATCACCCCTTATATCTGTCCACCAATCTCTTCAGACTGCAAGCCCCCTGGGATTATTATGTGTAGGGCGCATTTGAGAGAAAGACAAAGAAAAAAACTCCCTGTAACACAAAAGGCAAGGATTATGGCAGCATTTATCAACTTAAACAAGGAAACAGTCCAGAAGTTATATATGTATATCTGTTAAAATGAGATGTCAGTGTTATTTTCATTTTACCTTAATTTAGACAACAATTTATCCATCGCGCCCTATATATCTATTAAAATGAGATGTCAGTGTTATTTTCATTTTTCCTTCATTTAGACGACAGTTTATCCATCGCACCTTGTATATCTGTTAAAATGAGGTCAGTGTTATATTCATTTTTCTTTTATTTAGACGACAATTTATCCATCGCGCCCTGTACATCTGTTAAAATGAGATGTAGGTGTTATTTTCATTTTTCCTTCATTTGGACGACAATTTATCCATCGCGTCCTGTATATCTGTTAAAATGAGATGTCAGTGTTATTTTCATTTTCCTTCATTTAGAGGACAATTTATCCATTGCGCCCTGTATATCTGTTAAAATGAGATGTCAGTGTTATTTCCCTTTTTCCTTCATTTAGACGACAATTAATCCATTGCGCCCTGTATATCTGTTAAAATGAGACGTCAGTGTTATTTCCCTTTTTCCTTCATTTAGACGACAATTTATCCATTGCGCCCTGTATGTTTCTATGTTGTTGTTTTTTTACTGTAATTAAAGAAATGGAATTACTTTTAAACCAGCATTCTAATAGCAAAGAAAAAAGTGGAAAAAATATCCTAGACAATGTAATGAAGCACAGCAAGAAGAAAGGACTAATAATTAAAACTAATTATTCAGAATCATTAAATGTCAGTAAGACAACGTTGTGATCTTCGAATTGGATATTTCAAAATAAAGCAGATAATGGAATTTAACAATCTGGTTCGTCGAGTAACAGACTAATGAACATGTGACCTGAAAATCTGAGAGTGCATGGAAACAATGAAAATGCATTCCAGAAACTAAGCAAAGAATGAACAGAAAATTCTCTTTAGAAATAAAAAAAAAAAGAACTGAACTACTATGTCATATCAAAGCCCCTTATGAGGAGTGGATGCTGGGCAAGTTTTTCAGAAATTAAGAAGGAAACTCAAGCGACAAAGATGTAGTTCTACTGATGGATGCTGAAAATACCAGGAACGGAATATGTGGACAACTGGAGCCATGCATATAATCAGATGAAATAATTTTGATACCCGTTATGAGAAAAGTAGACTTAGAAAATTTAACACTGACAGGCTAATACAAGTGGGTAAACTGCTTAAAATGTTTGTGTGAGTAGATAACAGAATGGGGACAGGTGGGATGGTAAGGAGTCAAAAGTTACTTAGGTGTGGGGAACTCTGACCGTTTGCGTTGTAAAGATACGCGACTCACAGAAGAAAACTGTATCGTGGCTTCAATAGTATTGAAGATCGATCAATACGTAAGAACATTATTTGTCAGACTAATATAAGGACACCAATTTTGACAGGAAAGGGTTTCTTTATCTGGCTTCACGTAAAACTAACAAGTGAAGATAAATTATTTTTCATATGACGTGTAATTACATAATCGAACAGATAAAAATTAGATATTCATACTGTTATATTCTGGAAATTCTGTCTATATCTCTGAGACGTGCTATTATGATTATGTACATTATTCGAACTGTTATCTTCATCTTCATTGCCATATTCAGAACATTTCGGCCGTTGTTAGCTCCTCAGGTGATTGGAATCTCAAAGCAAACCATTTATTTCGTTCACCGCGGTAGATTGTTCTAGTTTCACGTGCCACGCCTCTGATGTTTCAACTCAACACTCTAACTCAGCTCTCCAAATCTGGTTCAATGCTCTTGGTCGAGTCACTAGATATAACCAACGTCTTTATCCACTAGGCTATGTGTCTTTGAGGACATCTGTGTATGAATTTCTGCGACTCATAAACCTAATATCTCAGCAACCTATTTTTTTTACCAATGCTCATATTGCAATTTTTCCGTTATTATTAATACATATTTTTACCAGATCTTATATTGCAATTTTGTTTTGTTATTCGTTGCTTTTTTTCTAGGTCGACGAAATAAAGGGTTTGGTTCGAAATTTTTATCACCTAAAAAAGGTCGGAGTGTTCATCGGCCGAAACGTTGTGAATATGCCAATGAAGATGAGAATAACACTAGGAATAATGTAAATAATGTTAAATAGTCCTTGGAATTTATTTTAAAATAGTTCCAGTAAATGAAATGTGATTTTAAAGTCACGTATCATAGAAACATTATCAAACAGTTTTTATTCTTACAAACGTTTAATTACTTACATCTTGAATACAAGATCAAGTGCTTTGTATCTAACAGATTCCCCTGAAACGAACTATCATCGCTATAATACCGAATCGCCAGCACAAATTTCTAAATTTAATTGCTCCTTTTCGAAACACTAAAACACTGTTATTAGTGACACTAGAGACATATTCTCTAAAAGCCAGAAGTTCGACCGAAATAATTATGGTCAGTTCACTGGACCCCTGTTTACCTCCAGGACAGAAAATCATAAACACCAAGCCCCTGCCAAATCAAGTTTGAAAGATCTAATTGCTAGGAGAGGTAGGCGCCATATTCACGACTGGGTCAGACGAAAGGTCGTTAATTGTTTGCTATCAAAGGCTTTTTACATTCTTTGGTAGAAACACGAGAAAGAAAAGTGTCCGTATATTTCCTCTGATAGCGACTTCCTTTAAATCGATAAGCATCAATTATTGTAAATTCGTATTCTTAAGTTTTAAACCAGTGTCCATTTTATGTAAGATTTGGCGCTTGTCCTAGACGAAGGAAGAATTTAAAAGTTCAGATCTGTTTACTTAACGTGAACAAAGAACTTTCTGTTGAACAATTTTAAGGTATTTTTTTTTTTATTTCATTCTCATTAATAGTTTGAAACAGGAAATTATCTCTGTCTGACTTTCTGCGATGAGGATTTATCACTATTAACACAATTTTTATTTGGACTATTGTCCTCATCTTTTTTGTTTTTATCACAACATTTCAGCCGTCGTGCTCTTCGGCCTTCCTCAGATATATCGATCAGGATAACCTGAATTGAACTTAACATTTTATTTACTCTACGGATTAGACTATTCTCGTTCCACTGCTTATGTA